CTCTTGTCTTGCTCAGGCCTTCGTAGAGAACTACCCGCAGTTCAAGAAAATGTCCGGCACGGTGTCCAAGCATGTGACGGTGGTGGGGGAGCTGTCACGATTGGTCAGCGAGCGCCACCTGATGGAGGTCTCGGAGGCGGAGCAAGAGCTGGCCTGTCAGAACGACCACTCCACTGCCCTGCAGGTAAGAGGGATTCCTTCATTGGTGGAATTAGAATGCATGACTTTATCTCTCCTCCAGTCAGCAAGCTGCTTTGCATTAGAGCGATGCCTCGATTGGCTGTGCAGAGAATTACAGGGGGGGGGCTACGTCTGTTCCCTGTGTGTGTTGTAGTCACCGCTCTAAGCTCCTCCCACCCCCCGGGTGGACTACAATCTCATGTTTAGTTTACTGATTTGTATTGGGATTGTAGTCCATCCCGGGGGGTGGGAGGAGCTTAGAGCGGTGACTACAACACACACACAGGGACCATGGGGAACAGACGTAGTCACCCCTCCAGCAGGAAGGACGGTGTCAGAGATGATTGGAGGATCCTCAGCCGTGTCACGCCTATAAGGACCGGTTCGGGGACTGGGAGGGATTTTTATCTCCGGAGTTTGGTGTCACGTTTGATCGTCTGTTCCATCCCAGTGCTGCTGATCTCCTTTGCAGCCACTTCCTGTCTACGTGACCCCAGCGATGGCTGCGTGACATTTCCCAGGGTGGGGGATTCCTGATGGGTGACAACAGAGGACCGCGCCTGTGTGATGAAATGGTCACTTTGTAGCCCCCATTGGAAGCCTGTGGGGGGGGGTGACAGAGTGCCATGGCTGAGCGCGGGATCCCGAGGGCTGAGCGCGGGATCCCGAGGGCTGAGCGCGGGATCCCGATGGCTGAGCGCGGGATCCCGATGGCTGAGCGCGGGATCCCGATGGCTGAGCGCGGGATCCCGAGGGCTGAGCGCGGGATCCCGAGGGCTGAGCGCGGGATCCCGAGGGCTGAGCGCGGGATCCCGAGGGCTGAGCGCGGGATCCCGAGGGCTGAGCGCGGGATCCCGAGGGCTGAGCGCGGGATCCCGAGGGCTGAGCGCGGGATCCCGAGGGCTGAGCGCGGGATCCCGA